CAATCGAGGATAATTTTTCCGCAAATTTCGGGGGTGAGTCCGCTAATATATAGTATTACCTTAAATCCTACCAATGCCGAGTCTGCCAAAAGATCCATCCGCTACGGAAATGCCACCGCTTTCTGCGGCTTAGTGCCGAGAAACGGCTCCAGGAAGTATGTATCCACCAGTACTGCACCAATTGCTTGGTCCACGATCATTCCAAAGACTCCTGCCGCAGTGATGATCACTGGCACAAGTGCGGAAAGGGCCACCACACTCTACTACATAAGGACGACCGATTGTCTTGCTACGGATGTCCTCGCAAGGGGGGGGGAGAATGTTCACGCCAAAAGGGCGTTTAATATCGGGAGGCAGTGTCGAGCAGCAGTTTTCTCCAGATGTCCACATCTCGCGCGCTCCCTCTGCCCTTCGCTCTCCCTCTCCAACTCTCCCGCAACTCTCCGCTCCGCTCTGGAGCCACTAAGCTAAGATTAGAGTAGGGAGTTCTATTTTCAAGTGCACGTCGTGCAATAACCCCGAAGTTTTCCACCTTGTTTTCGGTATCATTTCTACGAGGATTTTCATCCGCAATTCCCTGGAACACAAGCACCTTCGACAATCAAGCCACTCCCGCCCCAACAATATGATTAATTTTTTGGTTGTCGGATACTTCAACGACGGCGTGTTCAAGATTTTTAATTCCCAAACTTTTATTTTTGTCGGATAATTCAAATTCGGCGTGTTCAGGATTTTTAATTCCCAAACTTTTATTTTTGTCGGAGAATTCAACGACGGCGTGTTCAGGATTTTTTAATCCCAAACTAAATTCGCTTTGATTTCCCATATCAGATTCGGATCTGACTCGAGTCTTTTCATCAAAATATTTTTTTTTAAATAAATTCTTTTAACGGAAGAATACTGTTTTTTTCGGACAAGGAATGTTGATTTAAATTATTTCCGTTGTTATACCCTTGCAGAGGGTATTATAATTTTGGTCAGAAGTTTGTAACGCAGTGAAGGAGACGATTCCGACCCCATAAAGTATATATATTCTTGATCAGGATCAATAGGGGAGTCGATATAGCCATGTCCGTCTGTCCGTCTGTTTCAATACCGTTTGCGAGCTCAGTGAATGAATTTTATTCTTTTACGCATACCTTGGTCAGGGTAAAACCGCGTGCTGATCGGTCGTCTATATCATATAGCTCCAATAGGAACAATAGTGTGAAAAATTTTATCTTTCTTATTTTTCAATTATAGAATATTTTGTTGTTTATTAATTCATGTTGCTATTCTAGTCAAGTTTTCATTCGTGAAATCTGCAAGGGTATTAAAACTTCGGCTTGCCGAAGTTAGCTTCCGTCCTCGTTTTAATTTAATATTTCTTCCTTTCCATTATATTTTATCGTTCATTAAGCTGTATCAATCACAGCTTCGATTTTTTGTTTAGTAGGTTATACCCTACTAGCAAATCTGAGTCTAAGCCTTCTATTTCGTGAAATGTATATCGTGTATCAAATATAGTTATCATATGATAATATTTTATTATTGAATATCCATTAACTGTGGATACTCTTTTATATATTGGGAGCTCATTTTTATTTTTATAAATTCCTGTTTTTATAGAACAAGAGGTTGCCCTTGTGTCAATTAATATTTTTGATTTTTTATTTATTTTTTATCATTTCTAATTAAGTAGGGTAATCCTACTCCTGACTTTGGTCCAAAAAATGGTCTTCCTCAATATTATTAAGTCTCATGATCTTGTTAGCCAGCTGATCAACAGTTCCAGTCGGTACTCTTTTATTTTGGACCTGATCTTGCTGTGTGTCAGTTTTTTATTTTGGTTCCATTTATTTTGATTATAATTATTATTTTGGTAATTATTATAGCCTTGATTATAACCGTTATTGCTCCTCTTTTGAACCTGAATGGAGTCATCTACATCCATTGGCTCTGGCTTATTTTGTTGTGGTTTATACGAGTTCCACTGATTTTCCTGGTTGTTATTATTTCTACCTTGATTCAAATTATTATTTCTATTTTACTCTCAATTTTTTCTTTGTGTGGTTGAGAAAGTATTAGCAAAATGAGCCCTCATATTATTACTTTTCAATTCCTGAACTATAACCATTGCATTTGGTAAGTCTTGAGGATTCATTGAAAATATTGTGTCAGAAATATGACCGTTAAGGCCGGTTATAAAAACTCTGAGGGCGGTCTTTCTATGTTTCTCGTTCATTTCTAATGTTATTGGTTTATTTCTACCGTAAGTCATAATAGTTTTTTAATTAATAGAGTTAACTTTCTATTAACAGTTCCATAATAATCCATTATGGATAGTTTACCCTGGCTTAATACACTCAATTCTTGTTCAATAATATGGATTGGACGTTTGTCACTAAAGACAAAGTGAAGTCTGGCCATTATGGCATCGAAATTTATAACTGTACCGTTATGAGTTAAGGCATCATTTGCCATTCCTGTTAATTTATTTTTTAAGATTGACAATGCAGAATAAAACCTATCGCTGCCTCTGGCATATTGTCCCATTGCTATTTCAGCTGACTCTCTCCAGCTGACATACTTATCTTTCCCTCCTTTATATTCCCTTACAGATTTGATGATCTCATAAGATGTTTTGCTTTAAATATTTGGATCTATAACTTCTATCCGATAATCTTCAACCTTCTTTATTTTATTAGATAACTGCTGTTTTAAATTTCCAATCTAGTCTTAATGGATTCAATTCATAATTAACAAATTTGTTTTATTAATTCTCCTACATTTAACATTGTGTTGTTTGTTACTGTCTGATTGTTTGTAACTTCTTGAGGAGATCTCACTGTGTGTGGTCTTTTATTACTTGGCCTGCTCTTGAGGAGGATTCATTTTGAGAATTTTTTAGAATTTGGAAATTAATTCTTCCACTTTGTTTAATTTCTCTTTTTTCAATAATCTTAAATATTAATATTAATAAAATTTAATTTTTAAATTTTAATTTTTGATGTTTTTTTATACTTTTTCAGAGGGTATTATGCAACGCAGTGAACGAGACGCTTTTCGAAGTTTACCGATCTGGCGACGCTATAATTTCCAACCAGTTATAGCGCGGCCTGCATGGTAACCCACTTCGATCGTTGACCAAGACAGCAATTTCCCTGCTGATTATTGTAGTTGGCTACTACACGAAACATGCATTTACAGTGAAGCCTCTTCGCTCCTTTTTGTGTGTTGGCATAATGCCGACGTCTTGGACTTCATGTAGTCTAAGCCGGCATGACCTCCAGTTTGCTAAAAAATTAATGGAAAATTAATTGGAAACAAATTATAGCTCCGTTGGTTTTTATTGTATTCTCTTCTACTCTAGGATATGATTTTTTTTTAATATTTCGGAATTTGGAAATGAACTGACCTAAAATCGGATGACTATATTATATAGCTGCCATAGGGAACGATAGAAAAATAAATGTCAAAACATCACAATTTAAAATTTTTGCGATTTGTAAGTTAATAGTAATGATCTGCAAGGGTATATAAGCTTCGCTTGGCCGAAGCTAGCTTCCTTTGTTTTTTTTTTTTTTTTTTTTTTTTTTGATTGTCCGGAGCAGTGAATTATGTTACGATCTCTATTTTTAATTGGGAATAATTTTTTAATAAAGGGGATTATTTTATTTATTAATTTCCACCTTTTTATTTTTTAGATCAACACTAACTTCTTTATTTCGTTGGTTATATTTTTAGTAAAGGGAATTATTGCTTTTATTAGTTTCCTTCTTATTTTATTAACAGAAACATTTTTAATTCATTAGTTGTATCTGGGTTTGTTGGCCGCACAAATTCTTTTTTCACTTTAAAATTTTATTAAGACTTCGTTTTAATACCTTGATTTAGAATTTTTAAACGCGCGGGCCCACATTGGGCGCCAATTAACTTTCTCCTTAGTGAGTTGATAAATTACTTCACTTATTCACTATTACAATTGTTTTATAGGTTTTTAAACTTCTCGTTTCGATTCTCAAAAACGGACTGCCTGGACTCCAGTTCAATAACACAGGCCGACAAAATGTGACATGGGTCGATGTCCATGCCTGCCACCATTTTAGTTCGATAATTTAGGCTTTTCTAAGCTTAAGTTGCCACTACGCCTATAGTCCATCGGCTCTGGTATTTGCGGTATCTTTAATTTAAGAAAATCACAAAATTTCTTCGGCTTTTGGGATATATCTTTAAGAGTGGTCAACCAATTTTGGTAATCTTTTCGGAATTAAATAGTTACATGTCTCTTTTATACGGTCGTTTTGGAAAATTCAATCTAACTCAAACACAAGAGGAGGTGGGCGCATTCAAAATTTTAAAGTCACAGCAAAGTTTAAAAATCTTCATTTGTGAACTGCGTTTAAAAATTAAATAAAAATATTTTCTTCTACAATGCATTTTTGATCCAAAGACACCTTATGTCCTTAATTTCTAGGACACTCATCAGGTTTTTGTGTATTGTTTTGGTATTTTTAAAATTGTTTTTCTTGCTTCCTTCACAGTGACAATTCACAAACAGTGCCCAAACCTGTCACTATTTTACGTAACACATAACTATTTTTGAGCACAAGCCCTTGCTTTAAAAATATTTATTGAATATTGAATAGATCACTACTTATCTTTGCCATATTTATGATTGGATAAGTAATGCCCGCGCAGCAGCTGTAATTCCTCTGTATATATCGTAAAAACTCGAAAAAAAATCCGTTAAAGAATTAAAATGGGTACCAACTTAAAGTTTACATCTAAGCGGATAAAACTAGCCTGTTATTGCCAAAATGTATGAGAAATTTGATTTATAGTGGAGTTTGGTTTTTCTATTTCCTTAGGACGGTAGATTGTTGATTTAGGTTTTATCGGGGTGACTTGTAAAAATTAAAATGATTGCCATCACCATTAATTATAATAATAATTATAATAATTATTAATTAAACTAAACATTAGAACATTAATACGGTATAATTATTTTGTTTTTATAGAACAACTGGACCGCATTGAAGAAGGAATGGATCAAATTAATGCTGATATGAGAGAAGCTGAAAAAAATTTAAGTGGAATGGAAAAATGCTGCGGCATTTGTGTCCTTCCATGCAATAAGTTTGTATATTTTATATTACTAGTCCAACAAAATTCTCATCCGAGTTTGTCAAAGAAATCTTCAAAGCTTAAAGGATTGGAAAATATGCAAAAGGTCTGGCACAAATGGCTTCTTTAAAAATACACGCCTGAAGATACAACTTTAAGCAAACTAACAAGATCATCAGCTCAAAAATCAACCAAGCTTTCCATTTCATATAGATTTTTATACCCGTTACTCGTAGAGTAAAAGGGTATATTGTATTCGTGCAAAAGTATGTAACAGCTAGAAGGAAGCATTTCCGACCATATAAAGTATATATATTCTTGATCAGGGACACTAGCCGAGTCTATATAGCCATGTCCGTCTGTCTGTCTGTCTGTCCGAATGAACGCTGAGATCTCGGAAACTATAAAAGCTAGAAGATTGAAATTTTGCATGCAGATTCTAGGAGTTCCTACGCAGTGAAAGTTTGTTTCAAAAGGGTGCCACGCCCCTTCTAACGCCCACAACCCTCATATACGACTTTTAAAATTTCAATATTTCGGAAAAGTAAAAATACAGTTTTATTGTAGAAGAAATTTTTTAAATCGGACCATTCGTTAAAAAGTTACGGCGGATCAAAGTTTTTATCTCTATTTCCTTCGCAATCCCTTTAGATGAGTAACGGGTATCTGATAGTCGGGGCACCCGACTATAGCGTTCTCTCTTGTTTAAGTTGGAAAAAAGGGTATTCAGCCCTATTGTTACCGTTTTCCCAAGCTTAAAATATTCATATCAAATTCATTTGCTAGTGGATTCTAATGATAATTAGCTTATTTTTTTGTCACCTACCAGTAGAAGTTATAAAACTAATTTCGGTTTTTATGCGTGTATTTTTTAAGAAGCCATTTATGCCAGGGCTTTGTCATTTTTTAAACTTCCTAATGGTGTACATAAGAAAGTTAAAGGTCATTATATTATATATTATATTACATTACGTCGAAAATTGAATGTTAAGTTTATTAATTATCACCATGATATTTTGTTACAAGTTGTGCAAGTTATAAAATCCATGAAAATTGTTTTATCCTGCCTTCACAAAAGAGTTGTACAAAAAGCCGCCTCTTCCACCTTAAGTTAATTATACCCGTTACTCGTAGAGTAAAAGGGTATATTGTATTCGTGCAAAAGTATGTAACAGGGAGAAGGAAGCGTTTCCGACCCTATAAAGTATATACATTCTTGATCACAGTCACTAGCCGAGTCGATATAGCCATTCCGTTTGTGTGTCTGTCCGTATGAACGCTGAGATCTCGGAAACTACAAAAGCTAGAAGGGTGAGATTTCCCACACATATTCTTGGGCTTCTTAAGGCATTTTTCCACTATGCGGTTTTTTCGGTATTTTTGTGTATTTTCGATTGGCAACGCGATAGGCGGACGTGAGGTGTTTCCATTGGCAAACGCGTCTGAAAACAGCTGTTGTGCTATTGTCATTTGCGAGCTGAAGTAAACAATGGATTTAAATAATTTGTTATTGATAATTGTAATCGCAGAACAGCATTTGAACGTGGAAACATTGCTGCAATGATGAAAGCAACAACATCCCACGTTACGCTGCTTGAGCATTTATTACGGCAGAAAGCAAAAGGATCTGCTGCAGAAGGCGTTCAAATATATAGATCTGAACAGTCATTTAATTAATTCTTTGACACGACCCGCGACAGCAGTAGCTTCTGCGGCGGCACGTCACTGAACAGAATCTGATACGGGGCAGAAATCCTACAAGAACATTGTGCGCAAGAAAGAGGGAGATGTGCTCTTTTCCAGCAGTCGCCTGTCAACGTGTGTCATTTGAATATGGAATGGCCATCTACGGTCTAATCAGGAGGTCGCCTCAATGGACGAATGGCGCACGCGAAGCAAACATCAAGATCATGGAGACGGGAAAGCCCATGTGGCTGCGCTGCAACGACCAATATTTCGCTTCCGATTCTTTCTAGCCGAGCCATTCCATTGGATAAACGAACTGCTACTGCTCTTTATGCGCTTGGATCATCCTCGGAATTCTGAACTATTGCCAGATCATTTGGCATATATCATATATCAAATACCAATCTATACGAAATAAAGTTCATGTAAATATCAACAATAAATGGTTTTAATATTTCCCGCTTCTTATCAGCCTCTTATCAGTTTCGGGTCCAGAAAAATGTTCATGCCTGGTTAATACTGCTTAAATATACCACAAATTTCACTTTCCAGCCCTGTAACGCGACAAATTTCCACCCTCCCCTCCTCAGTTGCTCAGCTCAACATTAACGAAGGGAGATTTCAACTCGGAAAAACTGTCGTAAAATTGCGTTCTCCTAATTTTATTGTAGAATAATACAATAAATAGATTAAGAAAATAGTTTAAAAACATATCAGAACGTTTATAACATATCCTACAATGAGTATGCATACATATTGCTGACTGGGGGGAGCCTAACCTCCCGTACCCCACACTCCGCTCTTACTACGCCTCTGCCTAGCCAATATTAATATGAAAAATTTGTAAACAAACCCAAATTTATGCTGTTTATGGTAAATTATAGCAACTTTGGGCCTTTATAGGACTACACTTTTAATTAATATTAGTTATATTTACGAAGTGCAGAACCAATTTTGACACTTTGCTGAAAACATTGATGTTTTCGTACGCACAACAGCTTAAATTTTGGCCTACACATAGCAACCTGCTTGCGAACGCTTTTCCGCTCATAACAAACTACAAATAATTAAAAAAACCCAAAAAACAATGAACTGAAGCATTATTTAATTTTTTCCCGCCATCGATTTGATTTGTTCTCGCAGTCATCGTTCCAATTTTCACAGTCAAGAGGAAGAATTCAGAGTTGCACCTAGAAAACATCGCCTAACTATCGCATAAAAGAGCCCGTCAAAGTCCGTTAAAATTGGATGGCGGACTAACTGGGAAATTTTCGGAACGGCAAAACCTTACGGACCATCCGTTCAACGGATGGTAGATGGTGGATGGAGCTCTGTGGGAAGACCCTATTACTTCCTGTGACAAACCTGAGCGGCAAAAGATTGGTTAGGTTTTGTTAACTGCAGTTACTCGTAATTTTTTTTTTTCTGCAGAGAAATCATCTATAGTGGGCCTTGATAATTTCGAAAATTTTGCGATGGGCGTTTTGTCGATAGTCAAAAAATACTCATATATTTGGTATTTTAGGCACGAGAATATCAAAATGTAATAGCATTTATTGTCGAATGCTCTTTTCTCCCACCTCTAGAACCACTTGAAAATATAAGGGAAAAATGTAACTTATACCAAAAAATGTCAAAATGGTACATTCATCTCTGGTGAGGAAAGGGCATTATACCTATCAAAGTGCATATGCACATTTTTCAAATCGGATCATTAATTCAAAAGTTATGCGCAATCAAAAAAAGGTTATATATCCAGCTCCCTCGCACTCCCTTTAGCCGAGTGACGGGATCCCGACTATAGCGTTCTCTCTTATTTTTAAATTAGCTTTATACTAAAATACAATTTCTTTTATTATCGGGGGTGCCACAGAAAACCATTCCAACCAAATTGACCCCGCATAGCAAATCTCAGACGCATTTTTTGACAGTTTCTAAGTCCCCCGTGCTTTGCCGCACGTTTTGATAAAATTAACCAAAAATATAACTTTATTTAAGACAATTCCAATGAATTTTATAAACTATCTGCATAGTAAAATTTTTTATTTACTTCGGGTTATGTTTAAAAATATGTTTTTTATAAAACCTCTCGAAAAAATAAGCTAAAACAAAACGTCGGCAAACCGTCCAACCTGACAGTGGTACCAACTAGCTCGAACTATAAAATACCAAATTTCGGAGTAGTTATCGAAATGTTGTTTTAACGAATTATTTATTCAAAAGTACTTAGTATCGGGACCGCAATTACTAAGACATTTTTTTAAAACTCACACAATAACCATTATTTTTGATAAAAAAAAAATAAAACTAAAATAATAATTATTTTTGAGTTTTAAAATAAAAATCAAAAATAATCATTATTTCTGATCGGAAAATATATAAATATATCAGTATTAAATATTTAATACATATATAAATATATGTATATATATATAATACATATATAAATGTATGTATATAAATATATGTATTAAATCATGGATTTCAGTTGAAATTCTCTTTTCGTTCTTTGTCATTCTACATGAACTACTTAACTAATTAATGCCGCGAGATCTTCAACATAACCTGGAAAAACATTTAACAAAATACCACTAGTTTTTAATATCTTTAGTTAAAGAAGCTTTTCCTCTTATTCTTAAGAATTCGCTATTATAGAGAATATATTAAAATGTCTAAGGACCTTTTTCTTGTGTGGATACTTATCCACACAATCAGCTCCTCTTCTTCTTAAGAACTCGCGCTTTCTGTAACACCCCTGAATGAAACTAAAAAAATAATTTTTACCATTGATTTTAATGATGGTCTTCTCTTGCATTGGATTTTTTTTTGTGGACTAACATTTTTAATTTTTGAAGTTAGGTTAAAGTAGGTAAGTATTATTAAAATGTTCGTTAATAAACAAAAAATTTGTAATATGGAACAGTTAACAAAATATTTTAAGTATAAAATAAAAAAAAGGGGTTTTTCTATTCTTAAACGAAATGCACCCAAAAAAATCGCATATGAATTTGCTTTACTGGCGATTTTGTCTATATTAAAGAAAGTAGGTTTTTAAAATCAAAAACGTTTTTTCTAAAAATCAATAAAAAAAATAGACTGCAATTTAAAAATTGTTTGCTAGAAAGTAAAAAAATATTTCTTAGAATTTAGAAATAAAAGTTTTCTAAAAAAAAGAAATACGGTTTTTTTTTTAAATAGACAAATATTTTTTAAAAAACAAAAAAAAATTCTCAAATTCTGAAAATACAAAAATCTATTTTCGGGCTTCGGAATTATACCCGGGTTGTTTCTGTGACGCGACGGCCTTTGCGTTGTTTTTTTTTCGT